CTTACATATTTTGAAGAAAAAAATATTCTATCTGTTTGAGGAAAATATCAACGTTTAAGGAAGAGCGAAACAATGATGAGTGAGAAGCAATTACGGTGATTGGTGAGCGAAGCATCCTAGTAAATTGAATAATATTTTTTCCTCAGCATGCGTTATATTTAAGATTAACGAAGATTAATTTTACACTTTCAACAAAACATTTCTAAGAATCTTTTTAGATCTCATTATTTTGATGAAACCTTTAAAATAAATAAAACCCAACTTCAAGTCAACCTTAAAAATATAAGTGTACATTGATTTGTAAATATTTTCGGTTTTAAATTAATAAAATCAACTGATTTAAATCTACCAATCCTGATAACTTTATGTTCCATATTCCAGGAAGTAGACCTAATCATGAATCCAATTCTTCCATTGGATGAACATTTAAAGTTTTCCCGCTTCACGAATCCCATCACTATAGAAGCCTACACCATTCTGTCGGGGAAAGAGACTGATGAGGCCGGAGTATTCCTCTACTTCAGTGTTTTATCGAAAACGGTAAAATGATTAGTGTACTTTTGACAAAATATACTCATGTGTCCGCGTATTAAATAATTTTTAGTTAATGGATAATTAAAATTTCCTTGGTAATAGGAATGTTTCAACATCCAAATAACGTTTTGAGAAATAAGATGTACGAATAACGTAGCTTGAGAATTAATGGTGGTTGGTGACGTATGCCTGTTAAGTCAGAGGGGTGCGATTTGTTCTTGTTTTCTACTGGCGCCATCTATAGCCAAGAATTCGACTTCTGCCACACCCATACTTCACGCCCGTTTATAGGGCGGACCCATTCATACATCCATTCATTCATCCATAGATCGTAATTTTGGCCTGAAGTAGAGACACGGAGTTACTACACGGAGAGTCTTTGGCCTGTGGGGTTCGAACCCACGAACTCGCGAACATGGGCCCAGCTCTCTACTGACCAGGCTGTTCCGGCCCAGAATTAATGATTGAGAATTAATGGATATTGAATGTGGGGTGTTTAATGGCAAATCGTCCAAAAAAAAGGGACATGCAGTTCAAAACAAATTGTATTAAAGCAAAAAAGTACAGTGGGTGATCGGTTAACGAACAGATCGGTTAATGAACAAATCGGTTAACGAACACTTTCACGAAAGATTTTTGTGTTCGGTTAACGAACACATATTCGGATAACGAACACTTTCAAGAAAGATTTTTTGTGTTCGGACAACGAACACATATTCGGATAATGAACAAAACGAATTCTAACGAACACTTCTCGGCCTGAAAAAAAGTACTATTAAATGTTTGTTATCATTTTGCATACAAAATAAGATCACTGAAAGGAGAAATGTTTAAAGCATGCTTAGTATTGATAATTACTAAATGAAACTTGAATTAACAATGAATTTAAAGGTCATTCAATAATTATTATTATAAAGCTTAAAACACTTCTCGTTTACCACTCTGAGAATCCCAGAGCATTCAAAAAAAATTCCATAATTAAGAACAAACTGCCAGTAATGTGGAGATCGAATCAGAGGGCATGGGTCACGCAGTATCTTTTCAAAGAATGGCTATTTGAAGTTTGTGCCCCGAGCATCAAGGACTACCTTGATACCAATGACTTGCCGTTGAAAGCACTGCTGCTATTGGACAATGCACCAGGACATCCAAAGGATCTTGAAGATAATTTGTTGACAGACTTTCCCTGGCTGACAGTTCAGTTTTCACCTCCGAATACGACTTCGCTGATTCAGCCGATGGATCAGGAAGTTATTGCGGCTTTCAAGAAATTGTACACTCGCGCGCTGTTTCGTCGGTGTTTTGAAGCAAGCCAATTCTCCTCAACAATGACTTCAAAAAAGTTTTGGAAAGAAAAATTTGACATTCTTGAAGCTATTCGTATCATTCAAAAGGCGTGGTCAGAAGTCACACAGCAACAGTTGATTTCTGCTTGGCGGAAGCTGAGTCCATCCTTCATTCATGGTGACAGAGGTGATCAGGGAGACACCCCTGAAATTATGGATGAAATTTTGACAACCGCTAGAGATCTAGAATTGGAGGTGAACGAGGATGACATAGAAGAGCTAATAATGGGACATGAAGATTAACTGACGACAGAAGATCTCCAAGAAATTTTGAATGAAGAACACCAAGAAACACAGCGAAATGTGTCTCCTTCTGAACAAAAGGAAGACGAAAGAGGATACCAATGCCGACATCTGCCGTTAAAGATCTTTTGAAAAAGTGGGAGGATGTCAGAGCAATAGTCTTAGAATGGCACCCAAACTAAGCTGATGTCAGTAGGGTTGGGGATTTTTACAACGACAAGGCTATTAATTACTTCCGGAAAATAATGAAAAAGAGAGAAAAGCAATCGACATTGGATATGTTCTTCAACGCCCCATAAGCAAAAAATGAAAAGGACTGATTAATATGCAAGACTATATGTATGTATTATTTTTTAAAAACCTTAATAAGAAATTATAAATTTTTTTAAATTTAATTTTTAGGGTCTCCAGAACGAATTAATTGATTTCACATAGAAGTCTATGGTGAATCGATGATCGGTTAACGAACAATTCGGATAGCGAACATAGTCTTGGAACGGATTATGTTCGTTAACCGATCACCCACTGTACATTAAAGTAAACAAAAGGTATTCCCACGAGATCCCATTGCGAGCCAAGAGGATAAGATTCCACAATTTTCAGACCAATAACATAATTGCAGTAATGTGAACAGCATTATACACATGATGTCCTGGTTGACACCGATTTAAAGCTGGATGAGTCATAGAATATCGAACCCTAGACCTTTGCAAAAGCAACGACTGAGCCATTTACCACTGAGCCATTGCGTCTCCAGGTATAGGTGCAGAATACAAAGCTACTGTTTGTTTAAAATAAGAACTCCTCTAGACATTCGTCTGGACCTGTGGTGGTGACTATGGTAACGAGGTACGACTATTTCAAGTAGGGGTGCGAAGTCACTGTTTTGGAGTGGTTTCAAATCAGGTCACAGGGAGAACGGGAATCTCTTTCTTCCGTCTATTGTGTTAGTCCTAGAGCCCTCCCTAAAATGCGCCATTCTTGTTTCTATAGCACCAGGTGACCTCAGACTTTGTGACGGGAAGAGTTCTAAGCTTAGACAGACTATATATCTCAACACTTTGCCAACTATCAACACACGACCGATCGGAGAGATGTCCCCGATAGTTAGATGTAACTGTCAAAAAATGCACGATGGCTAGCTAATGTTCATGCGCAATTCGTTTGGTCCAGGAAGAGTTAATAAAATGGACAAGATAATATGTGGTAACGAAACTAATGATTTTGTAATCTTTTCTGGCGGGTTCATTATTGAATGGCTATTATAGGCCTGAAATAAAAGAAATCTAGTGACGTGGAGGTAAATAAGTTAGGAAGAGGCGTAAAATCTAATTCGTTAATTCAACGTATCAAAATAGTAGATCTTCCTAAAAAGAAGTATTAATTGATAGTTAGAAAATCCGAATGCAAAATGTTGAGCTTAAAAATATTTTATGTATCTTGCACAAAACAAGAAAAGGAAGTCGACCACTTCGATTAATTTATGATTTAATAATTGGATCTTCACGTTCTATGACTCTTTGTTGATAGATCAAGTGACTGACCTCAAATATGCTAATTAATTAATGCAAATATTACTATAACTTATGAAATCAGACACAAAAAATGCACTTTTCTGAATAAACATACCAGATTTCTGAGACCCTAAATATAGGGCGGAACAATAGTCTTAATAGTTTGTTCAAGACAGCGAACCAAAATTAAGATTCCTTATTGTTTTGAATTTCAAAAATTAATTTTAAATTTTGCCATGTAAAATATTTTATAAAATGACGTACAGAATTGTATATCTAACAATTCAAATCTTTTTTAGACTGTTATGAAATAAAACAATAAAAATATTAAATATTTACTAAAAGTTTTTTTTTCACATAGTTTTTTTAATCATTAAATTATCTTTGGACTAACGATCTTCGCAACAGTGATCAAAAATTTTTCAATTCACTTAAAAAGATTTCGAGATATGGTGAAATATGCAAAAAGTAAAATTAACATTAAAGGATCCAAACTTCGGACAGCTCTCCTGAGCAAACTATTGGGACCATATTTCCCAGCCGCTCTACCCAATATTTTTGGGGTCCGAAATCTGAATGCATCAAAAAGGAAGATATGTTTATTCAGAGGAAGTATGTTTTTTCGTCTGATTTCGTATTTTAAAATATAGTCTGCACTAATTATTTAACATATTTGAAGTCACCTTCTCGAACCATTAAGATTGTTTCCCAGAACGTTAAGATCCACCCATTAGATCAAACGTTATTCAAGACGACGTTATATTTTGTTCACAGTAACTAAGAATAATGCTAATTTTTCTTAACAGATCATTAAATACAGTTTTCAATGCTCCTTTTTTTATTCATGCAAACCATAACTCATCATTTCCATCGCAATTATAGGTGTGGTTGTGTATAATAGTCACTCTGATCTTGATCTCATTGACAACAGCGACACTTTACAGAAGAAGCAAAGCTTATTCAGATCACTTTAACTGGATGAAAGTGACATTTCAATATGCATGGATGCTATTTTCCTACATGCTAAAACAGGGTAATATTACCATACGATATTTCAACCTCGTTTTTTTATTGCGTAATTTTATATAAACATACGTCGTTAAGATAAAAATGGTTAACACGAATTTTCGCTTAAGACGAAGAATAACTGTTTTCCTGCCACGTTATCTTGGGAAGCAATTATTGAATCTTATGACAAACCTTTTAAGACGAAGAAATTTTCCCCCCGTTTAAGACGAAGAAATGGTGTGACTAATGAAAACAATTTCCTCATTCCAACATAAGTGACAAGCATCCAAGTAAACAAGTTTACCGTTTTTCTTTGAACTGAAAAAGAGGAAATAATGCATTAGTTCTTGGAACAAAGTAAAGAGGTCTATGTTAGTTCACAATTATCTGCAATTGGAGATGTCACCGATAAAAGTTAGGTTAAAATTAGGGGTTAGTTTTTATAAGTATTATTATGTAAGCACGTTGTCGATTCTAGCTATATTAAAGCTCGAATTACGAAAATGAGGGAACTGTTTAGTTATCTTCTATTTTAGCAATAAAATGCTAAAGGACATCAATGAGTGATAGAGCCTTTTAATTTATTTTTATTTATTTATTTATTTTGTAAACATATGCGCAATTTTCCTATCCAGGAAAGTTCAACCGGTTATGTTATGCTAATGTTTTTTTTTCTGAATGAAGCAGAAATTTAAGAGTTTGGGACGTGCCGGGTGCACAAAAGGGTTTTCATTAGCTGGCTATTACCCGGACACGTCGAAAAAGTTTCTCCTTATTTCCCCATTGTTATTTCCTTGTTCAAACTTATTTCCTTTATACCCATTGATTAGATCAACTTTACACATGTTTCTCTCCTTACTGCTCTACCTTCATTTGACGTTTAGTCACGAGGAAGGTTCTTGTTTATAGAACTGAAACTATAGTATGTCAATTTATGTACTTTCATTAGTGTTTTATCCATGCTGATTTTTCGCTTTAGACTGATTTTACCCTTTCCTATGTTGTGTATTTTTATGTTTTTAATTTTATTTCATATCAATAACAATTTGCTTCTCCTAATCTAGTACCTTCGGAAAAATGGTTGCTAAGGAAGCAAAAAGGTGTGCCGACTTACTTCCTGCCTTTATTGACAAGCCTGTGGGTTCTGTGCGTGGCCTTTCTTGTGATGAACGTTTTCCAGAGCCTCCTCGTGTCGAAGCTCACTCTGAAGAAGTCCAGTCCTTACATAGACACTCCGGAAGATCTTGTTGACAAAAAAAATATTCAGTGCCTTGCTCCCAGAGAGATACAAATCAAACACGTTTTTAAAGTAAGCTATGTGATCCATTCCTGCGTGGATAGCATAAATAATTCTAGGCACCATCAACGTTACAGATTCCCCCCCCCCCCCAAAAAAGTTTTTTTCAGCTCATAGCCCGTGTAAGACACTGTTAGAATTTCCCTTCTAAATTACTGTAAAATGGCCGGTAGCAGTCTGTCCGTCCAATGAAGCGTTAAGTTTAATAAACGAAAATCAATTTTCTGGTGCTAAGCAACTTTATGGTGCTGCCATCTATGCTTGAGTGTGAGTATCATATTCTAATAGTCCGGAGTCACAAAATAAGGAGTGAAAGACACTGCAAACTCTTCATCCGTTAAAGAAAATGAAGGAAATGTAGTGCTGTCAATGCTGAAACTCGATACCTGTCGGTCATTTGATTGACAGATTAGCCCTCTCGGCTATGTACCCAGTTGAAAGGAACTAAGTGCTTTCATTATATGTGCATAGTTAGTGCGATAAAAATCTGATTGTTTAACCGTATTAGGTGAAAGCAGTTAATAAGCAGTTTTCTCAAAGTTTAGAGTTTGAATACCATTTTAATTACGGTTATTTCACTGTTTTTATGTAAGTATGGTAAAATAGCAATGAAATAAATCGTTACTAAATCATTTTTACGCGATCGATTAAAGGGCCAAATCATTGAACGTACAGAATTTAGTTTCATGTTTAGTAGGCATAAATTTATGGAATAAAAGTTTGCGATATTTATAACATTTTGATTCTGTCCAGTCTGAGTAAAATAACTGTTTGATTTTAAAGAAAATAATAATATTAACCCATTATCTATTTTAATGCTGTCTGCTTTCCTGTCTTTGTTATTATTGAAAAACACGGAGTAGAGATCGAAATTATCCGTTAAAAACAAAAGGAAACGGAAAGGTGAAAACGGAACGTAATCTTACATCAAAAACAGGTAAATGGTTAAATAAATAATTAAGGAACTGAGAAGAAAATAGTTGATAGTTAACAAAATAATTATCAAAAAATTAGCTGTCTGGAGGAAGAGTATGACGCTTTGCAGTTGCATTAAGTTAGTGGCTGAAAAAACGTTTGCTGGAATAATTCTCTTTTGAGAAAGTATAACATTTAAACAGAATTCTTTTGATTTGGATATANAAAACTTAGGTTTACGTAGGAATTAATAAAGTGTCAATTTTGGTGCAAGATAGTCGGCTTTATTTATTAGGAAATAAAGGTAATTTTTGGTTTGTATGCAACTGGCAGTTTATCTACATAACACCTTATCTAAAAGGTAAGTGATACATTTCATTAATATATACATATATATATATGTATATATATTATTTTTAGAGAATTAGGAAACATTCTTACTTAATCTGGTTTAATGTGCACCAATCAGCTATCTTCAGGTTAAATTTAATAAAACTTTTTTGGCTATAAATGAAAAGCAGCGTCCGAACATTTCGGAGAGCTTTCCAAGCCGGGGAACTCATCTAATTTTTGACCTCAAGATAAACCTAGTAAAATAAAGAGATTGTTTAAATTCTCTTCGAGGATATTTTTAAATAATTTGAATGCTATGAGAACACAAAGTTATTAGACAGATAAGGTTATGCTCTTCTCATGCATATTTTGTGAGCCTAAACCAAATCACTGTTTTCACCATGCACTATTGCATTCTAGAATGTCATTAAAAATTTTAAATTATGTAAATACAACTTTCCTTCATAATTTTTAACAATGTTACTTCTTTTATAATATACAGACAACATATAGATGATGTATTTATTAAGTGACCTAATACGCTTAAATTAGTTTTTTTTTAAAACAAAGGATTATATTCAAGAATGTTATCATAATCGTAAAATTGCTTAAATCAGCATCATCAGCATTGGCACGACAGCCCTTTGTGAGCCTGGGCCTTCCTCCGAAGCTTTTCCCATTCTGCCCTTCTCCCAGCAATTGTTTTACAGTTCTTTACTTTTAGGATGGCAAAATCCTCATCCACACAGTCCTTCCATCTCTTTTTGGGCCTTCCTCTTGGCCTTTTATTGGAGGGGGTTGCATTAGAGACTCTCAATGCTGTTCGTTCTGGGCTCATTCTCACTACATGCCCGGCCATCTCATTCTACTTAATTTAATAGATTTAATGATATCATCGCCATCATAGAATCTATATATTTCAAAATTATATCTTTTCCTCCAGTTGTCGTTATCGAGTATAGGGAAGATGGTTCGTAGGACCTTCCTTTCGAAGGTTGCTAATAACTTCTCTTCCCTTTTTATTAAAGTCTATGTCTCTGAAGCATAAGTCAAAACTGACTTGATTAATACCTTATAAAGTAAAAATTGCTTAAATAAAATTTCGTATTTTGACAAACAATAACGGCATATATTATACTAAACATTAAAATGTTATAAAATGTATGATTAGATTGTTCATTTAAAATCCTAATAACTTACATACTTACGAAACAAAAGTTTCTGTTCAGGACTTTAATTTAGTTTTTACATACTGAAATTTAGATAATTCAAACAGCATTGAAACAAATTTTTAGAAGGATTCAAAGATTTTTATGTAACTTTTAGTACGAATTGTGACGTGACAGAAAATAATTAAAAACCATTCCTTTTATTTCGCGTGAAGGAAACTTGAAAATAACGAATGAAGTTAACAAAATCAAATGTTGGGAATAGAAACCATTCTTGTATTAAAATGAAGTAAAGAAAAATTGCAATACTGTATTGAACTTATCTAATAAAAACACTACGGTAATGAACTTTATTCATCAGTCACTGTGTCATATTGTTTATTTGCATGCAATTTGAATTTTTTTTTAAAAAACTAAAGTTTAATAAAAGTTCCGAGCTTTGCTTCTTTTTTTGAGCATAATGTATTAAAAGTTTTCAGTTCGTGTCATCGCAACTTACTATTTTTTTTTTACCGTCCAAAGTTTTTAATATGTCTTCAGCCCATTTTTTTTTTGTAAACCGGAGGGTTTTGTTTAATTCATTTACATTATTTGATCATTTACATTATATTGATTTAAGAGGTAGTTTTTGACTTAGAATAACATGTAGTTTAAGTAAATAACATCTATAGGAATAATATCACGAACCTACTTAATCACGAACGCTAAAGGACTTAAACAAAAAATTATGCATATTTAAGACAAATCTTGAGAATACTTAAATCTTGAAACTCAAAAAAACATTTCAAAGGTATTACTAATTTAATGAAAAGAAATTTAACCTTGCAATAAAGTAGTGCGCAAAATTAACAATTTATACAGAGTCAGAGATTCGTCCTCATTCTTTATGAGAAAATTGAAACAGAATGTTTTTATTAGTTAAATTATATTAAACTTATTTCAGATGTCATACAAAAAAAACATGTACAATTAACAGTATTGAACATTTAAATTACATGTAAAAATTTAAATGTAAATTACAAGTAAAAATTAACATGAAAATTATATGTAAATGCAACATGTAAAATCAAAATATATTTCAATTGTATTAATTTAAAGGAATTTATTGATGAATCGATGATGAATCATTAATGAATAGAAATCAAAAATAATTTTTTAACTTTAAAAAATTTTATCAGAATTGTAACGCAAGATTAAATTAATACAGAAATTAATATTTAATTATGTATTCTAAGAGCACAAACTACTTTAAAATTCAATTTAACCATTCTGACAAGTCTGGGTAATTTTGTTATAAATAAAAAAATTTTTTGGCTATTTTGCGGTAGATAAACTTTTTCCATTTCTTATGGTTTTTCAGTTTCTTTTACTTTTAGACAAACATTTTCTCCGGAAAAAAACATATCCCTAACTCCTCACTTTCATTGAGAATGTGGTAAAGTATAGTTCTAATATTTACATTTAACTAACTTTTTTTTAATATTAAAACTTACATCGTTAGTACTTCAATGAAAGTTCAATGAAAATTTTTTTAAACTCCAATAATAGCTTTAAGTAAAATGCAGTGCTCTAAAAGTAATTTATATGCGGACAAATTATAATATAAAATATAAATTTGAGGCTTCAAAACAGTTGTTAATATAATATGAAAGACAATAAAATATGTGATTAGGGTCTAATGAGCTTGTGACGTCATAAATTCAGCTATCCGAAGAAAGCGGAAATAAGCATCGGGAAGAGAACATGAGAACCTGCTATTCATTAACCTTGATGACATTATATGTGTGATAATTATCTTATGTGATATATCATTAATAATTATCTTATGTGATAATTATCTTATTAATTATCTTACTTTCGACAGAAATCCGAGAATGCCAAATTTAGAGCAGCTTGGAATTACATTTCCCATAACATGCCACGCTCTGAGGCTTTTCAAGACCGGACACTGCGTTATGTGGAGAGTGGCAAATATTGCATCATACATGGTCATCTGATATTCAAGAGCCGCCTCAAAGAGTTCTTCAAAAAGTATGGAACCTGCAATTTTCATCTGTCTGAAAAATACTTCTACCCTTTCTCTCTACCCATAATTCTTCACAAACAAGACACAGATGATTTCTACGAGACATTTAACTTGGGGTAAGAAACCATTTATTAGTTAAAACGAAAGAGAATATTTGTATTTAAACTACGTGATTATCACTAGATCATTTTAATTGACAGTTTGCTAGGAGTGAACATATCGAGATAGCCTAATAAATTACTCTTCCTTTTTTTTTTATTTGAAAACAAAATTAACTCTCGCCAGAGGCAGATCTTTTAATTAATTTACTGTCCCGCAGTGGACTGATAGTAAAGACACGGTTCCCAATAGAACACTGAAGTCAAGCATCACTGGCTGTGGTCAGTAAGCGGGTGGGATACCACTTTGATCAGCCTGTCTAGGTTGCGATATCGGTTCTCGTTAAACTGTTCTACCGTAAAGTGCTCGACTTCGCACCGGCGGTTGAGCTACCAAAGCAGGGGAGCCATCCCCTCTGCAGATGATCAAAATTGCGATGGCATGTCTTTGGATCATCCTCAGGGATGTTTCCCAGACCGTCGCCAATAGCACATTGTACAGCCTTAGTGCTACTTAAATATATTACCTACATTACCTACCACCTTTGGATCACCAGCTTGATCAATATAT